GATTTTCGGGGGTCATTGTTTGTTAAAAAGTTATTAACAAAAGAAGTTCTATAAAATGAATGTTATTTTTGGACACAGTATACATTGAAATTAGACATCGTGTATATGAGGAATTTAATTCTCTTTACTTGTTACATGAATGCCAATATTTATCTTTCAATACGACCGTGTTTATCGTGCTTACCATTGTTAGTGTTTACATTAGTCTTTCTAGTACTCTTGGCGAAGCAACATGTTTCTATACCAGTTCCTTCATTTAACGCATAATTCAGATAATTTATTAACTTATTTGTGTGATAAAAAAGTAATTTTATGTCAAATCAAATGTCGAAAGTGTAAAAACGTTGTGCAACAGCAAACTGCAAACCATAATTTGATGTTTCACTGTACAAATAAACATTATAAAGTAACGCACAAAAAAAGACAAAGAGTAACATGTAATTTTAAATTATCTATGTTACATGGAACTTGGTTTGCACATTTTAAATTAGGATTGCAAAAGGCTTGCCGTTTTATCGGCTACTTTATAATAATGAAACAACCATGTCAGTCTTTTCTGGAGCAAGAACTACAAATGAGTTCTGAAAGTGTAGTTGACTGGAAGAATTATTGTCGTGAGGTAACAATTATATTTTTTCAAGATATTAATATAATTATGATTTTTCTATCTTTTATATTTTTGTCTCTCATTACTAGTTGTTGTCAATGTGGCTTATGAAAAATAATACTAAAATTGGTGGTCCTGGACATATAGTAGAAGTTGATGAAGCGAAAATTAGAAAACGGAAATATAATCGTGGACGAATTGTTCGAGGACAATGGGTATTTGGAGGATTTGAACGTGAAACTAAACACGTATTTGTTGTACCAGTACCTGATCGTTCAGAGACAACACTTTTAGATATTATACGTTGTCGAATTGCGCCAGGAACTACCATTTATACCGATTGCTGGCGCGGATACTCAAATTTAAAGAAAGAAGGTTTTGATCATTTTACAGTCAATCATTCAGAAAATTTCGTAGATCCAGTAACAGGAGTACACACGCAAAATATTGAACGTTTGTGGCGTGACATGCGAGGAGCAATACCTCGTTATGGGATTAAAGAATATCATTATAATTATTATATAGTAGAATTTTTGTTTAAACGACTTTATACTTATTCCGATCGAATCGATAAATTTTTCGAAATTATGGCAGAGATGTATCCACTAAATAACTAAATGAGTGAATAAATTCTTAAATACTTTAATTCTTAAAATATGGTAATACATGCTTTAATTTTTGAAATAAGATGAACAATATACCTGTGTGTGTGTGTGTGTGTGTGTGTGTGCGCGCGCGCATTCAATTTTGTATATTGTATAGTGTGTGCTACACACACACACACACACACACACACACTGTTTAGCCGCCCGTGCGTTCGCCCGCCCGACAGGGCGGGCTCGCGGTGGGTGCATATGGTGCTATTTTATAGCGCACAGGTGGCCAAGCAGTGTGTGTGTGTGTGTGTGTGTAGCAGGCATTTTCCTAGCTTAAAAATTTGATGTTTTTGTATATGCGGTGTCTAAAAATAACATTCATTTTATAGAACTTTTGTTAATAACTTTTTAACAAACAATGACCCCCGACTAAAACCACTTGAATGTTACTCAGGATGATGTCCTTGATAACATATCTCAAAAGCAAAGTGATTGGAGCTGGATCCCTTATACGGAATATTTACCTTTTTTCTTTATAAGTCTCCAAAATTTCTCTTTTGGCAACCTTAACAACAATATTACAACACATGATGTCAACGACTTATGTTATTACAGTTACCAAGTTAAAATATAAACTATATTTTTTGTATTTTTGTACATATTAAAACCCAGTAAGTAAATTGAGCGCAGACTGCCCTTATAGAAATATCATACTAAGAATCATTGATAATTACTTATTATCCAATATTTTTAATACTGAAAATAAGTAATTATCAATGATTCTTAGTATGATATTTCTATAAGGGTGCGCGCAGATTGGCAGCAAATTTGATAAAAAATCCACAGCAAAACCATAGCCATCTGTGTCTACATTAGGCTACGGTTTTGGCGACAGATCTTGCTGTCGGGCAATTGGTGCCAAATTTGCAGCAAAAACCGCGCAAAGCCTGCAGCGCAACAAGGCTGCGCGGTTTCTGCCACCAATTTGCCGTCAAATCGCTACAAGCTCTGCGCGGTTTTTGCTGCAAATCTGCAGCAATTTTCCGACAACAAGCTCTGCCGCATATCTGGCGGCAATTTGACAGCAAGATTTGATATAACAGATCCTACATCAAATTTGTTATCTATTTGCCATCAAAAATTGATAGCAAGCTCTGCTCGAAATCTGTTCGCGCAGGTTTGGCTATCTGGGAATATATATTGTAAAAATTTAATTTCTAACAGTGTTCCCTTTTTTATCTTTATTACTTTAATATTTATTCTTTATTTAGAGCATATAATAAATAAAGTATATGTATATATGCGTGTATATGATATTTAGAATATATACTATTATGCATACATACTATACATACAGCAC